CTGTAAGCTCCTCTAGCAAATTAATCAACCCCAAGGAAGGCATTGTGGGAACTTCTGATTTATAACCAGTCAGAAGCACAGGAAACAACCTGGACTTCAAACGGGCATCTGAAGTGGAAGGTGGTCTTGTGGGACGGAGCCCTTAACCTGTGGAGTCTGACGGTATCTCCACGTAGGGTCAGATTTGAGTTGAATTTTGGGACACCCACTGGTGTCTAAGAGTTGCTTGCTGATATGGGCGAAGCCACCCCTTCTCCAACTTTGGAACTGGGTGCATAACCCCTACTGTTCGTGGAAGGATTCACACTAAGACTTCTAACTTATGCGACCTTCACTACAGTGCTGGGGGAGGCAGGGTGATTTTACTCCCATTTTGCTGATGAAGGAACTGAGGCCTTTTCAAAATGTCAAAAATGACTTCTCCCAAAGTGCTAGAATGTACCATTATTCTTTCCTCAATGGTATGTGTAGGCTCCTGCCTGATACAAGGGCGGACAGTGGGTTGCATTGGGTGAAAACCAGTAAGGTACTCAATCTTTTGCTGCTGTCTTAATTTTAGTTCTCAAGACTAACTGTGGATTTGTTTAGAAAAAGCCTTCCTCCCTGATTAGAACTACTGATATCTGAATGGCTAATGGGAGCAGGAAGGGATTTTTAACCTTTTGGATAAGATATAGGAGAGCTAACTAGTACCTTGGTTGATCCCAAGGTCAAGACCTTCAAAATAAGTTACAGAATCGTTCAACATCAGATATGGAAGGCAGCTCATCATGGCTAGTGTCAGCCTTTATTTAGCAAATGGATACACTGAGGTCTAAAGAGGAGGCGGTTTTATTTATTTATTTATTTAAAAAAAAAATTTTTTTTTTCCAACGTTTATTTATTTTTGGGACAGAGAGAGACAGAGCATGAACGGGGGAGGGGCAGAGAGAGAGGGAGACACAGAATCGGAAACAGGCTCCAGGCTCTGAGCCTGAATCAGCCCAGAGCCCGACGCGGGGCTCGAACTCACTGACCGCGAGATCGTGACCTGGCTGAAGTCGGACGCTTAACCGACTGCGCCACCCAGGCGCCCCGAGGAGGCGGTTTTAAATGGAAGTTGGGATCCAACGGAAAGTAAAGGAGATACATGTCATCAGAGTCAGGTTATGCTAAACTCAGGAATCTCTGAGAAGTTATTTAGGAATATCACATTGGAACCAACCGTAATCAATGGATGGGGCTACCCAGAACCTAGAACTGAGCAAGCTTAGAATGTTCCACGTAAACTTTGAGAGAAATAGTTCATGAATTGATTAATGACGTCTGCCTTGGCACAGGACAGATGAGTACTATTTATCTGCTACTATGTAAAATAGGACATCAATAAGTCTGGGACTGTGGATAGCCAAAGAGGTAGAACCCACAGGCTGGGATTTGGAGGGACAGTGAAGCTAGATCACCAGTGACAATCCAAGGACTACCAGTGGTGGCTAGGCTGGTGTTTAGGCTTCTTGGCCACCCTAAATTACTTTTTTACTCTTTCTCTCTCAGGATTGTATTATACTGCTTTGGAATCCCCGTAACCTTGTAGAATGAGAATGCACATGTACTTTGTTTTATACAGTAGACGTGTAAAACAAAAATTTTGGATACTACTCCAAATTTTGCCTTCGATTTAGCCTCATATAGTACTAAAGTTAGTGTCACTTTCTCCATATGCAAAATAAAGGTTTTGGTCAAGGTCTGAAATTCTCATAGGATTTTAACAGCTATTATGTGGAATAACATAAGTTTCCATGATCAATTGCTTTTGGAATATTGCTGGATTAATTAAAAAAATATTGTCTTAACCCATGGGACTTCTCAGATCCTTTAATGTCAGAATTCACACTAAAGTGACTCGGTACTGGGCGCCTGGGTGGCTCAGTCGGTTAAGCGTCTGACTTTGGCTCAGGTCATGATCTCACAGTTCATGGGTTCAAGCACCCCATTGGGCTCAAAGTGGCAGTGCAGAGAATGCTTGAGATTCACTCCCTCCTCTGTCTCTGCCCTCCCCCTCTGATGCTTTCTCTCTCTCTCCAAGTAATAAACTTAAAAAAGATAGCTTCCCAAACTTATTTGAAAACAGAATGCACAATACAGTAGAGTCTCTAAAGGTCTTTCAGCTTCAAAATGCTCCCATTCTTTGCTCCTTTCCCTTGAGAATAGAGGTAGCACTAGAAGCACCATCAGTGATCGGCTTAATTTGCTTCTCTGCTATAGACATGATTTGGTGGTTGGTTTTTAACCACAGAGTTCAAGTGGCTCAAAGCAAGTGGCAACCAGGGGGGCTCATTTCTTTAGTAAAACTTTTGAAGATAAATCGATGAGATTGAAAACTGCGGAAACAATTTGTTCCTTAAGACTAGACTAGGTAATTTCTGTTACTTTGATGTGACTGGCAATAAAACCAATTGGCAAAATTGACTGCAGAACAGTGTGACTAGGGGGCTTTCCCCTCCCCCCCCGCCACATAGTCTTTGTCAGCATAGCTGCTATGAAGATTTTTCATCTGAAAGTTGAGTAGCAAAATCCTGCTCAGTGTCCTAACTTCTGTGGAGGGTTTAGCTTTTGCAGTACAGCATCGGGCAAATTGTCATGATCACATGCACACTATTACAGTTTCCACCTGTATGGTGGGGTTCCAGATGTCTGACCCTAAGTAGTTCTCAACACTGGGGAGATGTCCACCCTGGGGCAGCTGTAGCTGCCTGTGTCTGCAGAGACAGACTATTCCTTCCAATGGGGGACTGCGTTCTTTCTCTATTCAAAAGAGACCATATCAGTTTGATCTACCTTTCTGCAAGTCTGGTCACAAATGACTTCAAAGTCTCCCATACCAATAGTTTTTATCAAAGACTATTTCACGGTCAGCATTGATAGGCAAATATGGAAAGTATGGTGGATTATTAACCAGGGCACCGTCAGAATCACCTACAGAATTAAAACAAATAAACATGTCACCCCTGAAGATTTTGATGGAGAAGTTATAAAGTGGGCACAACCGCTTGTATTTTAAAAGGCTCCACAGAGGGGCACCTAGGTGGCTCAGTCAGTTAAGGGTGTGACTTCAGCTCAGGTCATGATCTCATGGTTCGTTGGTTTGAGCCCCACATTGGGCTCTGTGCTGACAGCTCAGAGCCTGGAGCCTGCTTTGGATTCTTTGTCTCCTCTCTCTCCCCCTCCCCAACTCATGCTCCGTCTCTGAAAAATAAACATTAAAAAATTTTTAAATTAAAAATTAAAAAAAAAAGCTCCACAGATATAATCCACATGTCCAGCCATCAAAGATGGATACACAAAGTGTGGTTTATTCATACAATGGAAAGCTGCTCACCAACAGCAAAGAAAAAGCTGTTGTTACATGCAGCAGCATCAATGAATCTCCCAGACATTAGGTTAAGTGAAAAAAGCCAGTCACCAAAAAATGTACTATGTAGAATCTATTTGTACGAAGTTTGAAAATAAGCAAAGCTGATAAATGGTGTTAGAAAGAAAAATTGTGGTTTCTAAAAGGGGGATGTGGGATTAACAACAGAGGGCCACAAGGACACTTTCTGAAGGTGATGAAAATATTTTATCTGAAGGTGATGAAATATTTTATCTGAAGGTGATGAAAATATTTGTTTTGGGTGATGGTCTACCCAGATGCGTGTAATTTCAAAACTTGAACTGAATTTTTTAGAGATTTTTTTTTCAATTTTTAATTTTTTAATTTTTATTTTTTAATGTTTCTTTTTGAGAGAGAGAGAGAGAGAGAGAGAGAGAGAGAGAGAGAGAGAGAGAACGAGCAGGGGAAGGGTAGAGAGGGAGACATGGCCTGAGCTGAAGTCAGATGCTTAACCGACTGAGCCACCCAGGTGCCCTAAGAGATGTGTGTTTTATTGTGTATAATTTCCACATCGTTTAAATCAAAGAGCCTAATTTCCCTGTAAGTCTCCAAACCGGGGTTCTGCACCTGTGCCAAAATCCAAGAAATGATCACCTTCACTCAATCTAGCTCAGCCCAGTTACTGCCTCAAGAAATGAAACACTTTTCTATTCTTTGCTGTATGTCATACAACCCACCATTTTCATTTACCTTTCAGAATTTCTTCCGTTCTGTCTTTTGAATAATAAAACTCTAGAGAACTTAACGTACACAGTCCGCTTACTAATGCACCCATAGGTCTCCTGGAACTGTGTACCTTTACTGTTTCCATTTCAGTATTCAGCCTTCTTGGAAAGAGGCCCTTCCTTCCTAGACCACCTTGTAGGGACCTCATGTTTAATGAGCACCTACTGTGTGCTGGACTTTGTTGGCTACTTTACCGAAGCTGTCTCGTTTTCTTTTCCAAATAACCCTAAGAAATAGATACTTTTACTGTTCTTCTCTGCTTTTCAGATTAGCGGTTGATAAGGAAAGATAAATATATAGCAAGCCCAAAGGTGATATCAGGGTGATGAGTGGAGGATACAGTGTTAGAAAAAACTGTGATTGCAAAACCTCTTATAATTTAAGGCCTCTTTGATTTCAGGGCCTGAGGTAAGGAAAGCAGGGACCTGGGAGTTGGAAGGAGAGATACAGCTGAGTGTAAAAGGGGCAAAGGTGCTCATTTGACAATGTTTTTCATGCTCAGTTGCCAGAATTCAAGCCAGCCAGGCCCCACACACCCAGGCAGTCCCGTGCTCTCTGGCTCACCCCTGCTGGTAGCTTAGAAGTGGCAGCCTCAGGGCGACTTTTGTTATAACTTAGAAAACAAGAAGGAAGCAAGTGGGGGATGTAGAGATGTCTTTACTTTTAGGATTCTGGCTCCCTGAGATCAGAGGAGTGGGTTCCCTTACGGGGGTGGTGAGACACAGGGAGAAGCATTGGAGCAGATTCTGTGGTGTGTGTGTGTGTGTGTGTGTGTGTGTGTGTGTGTGTGTGTGTGTGTCGGCGCGCCTGTGCGTGGAGGGGGGATTGCTGTACCCAGCGCAAGGCACTGGGGGAGGAGGAAGCGGTAGCAGAGATCTGAATAATTGATTCTTCAGCCGCACCAGACGCTCAGGAGCGGGCGGAGAGCGCGTTTTCAGCACCAGGGACAGCGGCACATCGCCGCAGGCACCCACTTCGCCAGGCAGTCGCCTATCCTGGCCTTGTCGCCGCCGTGCGCCCCGGGAAAGGGTGGCAGTGCTCCGCGCCGCCGCCGCCGCCGCCGCCGAGGGACTGCGGGGTCTGCCTCGGCCCGCCTCCAGGGAGGGCGGCTGCGGGCGGGAGATGCTTTCGCCCACCGGAGCTCCAAGCCTCCCTGGCTGTCGCGGGGGCTGCTGCGTCTAGCCGACTGAGAACAAGTCCCCTAAGTTGACGTGGGGGCGCCCCTGCCTTCCTCCTCCTCTTCCTCCGAGGCGACCGCAGCAGAAGCAAGCCTCAGGAGCCCGGTTTTGCCAGTGCTGTGAACCAGGGTGGCTGGGCGCTCTCCGGACTCCCGTCGGGAAATGGGGAGCTGAACGCCTGGTGGCGAGCTGGCCCCGCAGCGAAGGGCCCAGAGGGAGCTGCCATCCCCCGCCCGCGCCTCTCTCCAGCGGGGACCGCGGGGATCCCCGGCCACACGCGCGCGCGCTCCCACACTCACACACACACACACTCACACACACACACACACTCGCCCTCACGCACACCACCAGCCGGAGCCTGGGCTGCGGAGAGGGCTCCCGGGCGCGCTTAGAGGACCGGGCAGCTGCTGTCCGGAGTGGGGCAGGAAGCCGAGCTCCGGCTTTTGGAGGGAGGCGCCGCGGGGCTAGCCGGAGCATGGGGCTGGGTGAGCGCTGAGAGTCGCGGCCGCAGCCATCAGCCCTGGAGATGACCAGGAGCGGCCACTGCTGAGAACTATGTGGAGAGAGGCTGCGGTGAGTGCTGGCGCGGGACGCGGGGCCTGGGAGGCCCCTTTGGGGGAAAAGATGGTGGGAGGCCTGGATAGGAGGGGGCGGCAGGACCGCAAGAGGGTCGTTGCGTGGGAATGATCGCACCTCCTTCGGGGATCCGGGATCGCGGGAGCCCGAGTCCTTCCCTCCCCCTCTCCTGCCGGCTCATCGCAAACTCAGCCAGCCACCCCCCTCCATTCCCTCCTCTTTCTCTCCCTACCCCCCTCGCTCAGCAGCTCCTGGCCGAACAACTGCCAGCAGCCGGCGCCGGGGAGGTGGTAGGGGGTGAGGGTGGAGATGCCCAGTTAGCTTCTCGTGCGTGGCGAACCTGGGGCTCGGGTTCTCCTGTGCGCCCAGGAGCGGAGCTCTCCATATCGACCACGGGGTCTGAGGATCCGCACAGGGGGTCTTGGGCATGGAGCTTCAGCTCCCCCTCTTCGGTTGAGCCCCCTGTGCGCACAGGGGGCTGTGAGCATTGCTGACTGCAGCCTGCCCCCCAGTCCCCTTTCTCCTGCCCGCGGGCTGACCCAGCCTCTCCGTCTCTTCTCCACCCCGGTAGAGCCCTGCTGCAGAGCCTCCGGCTGGGATAGCCGCCCCCCGTGGGGGCGATGCAGACAGCGCGGGACAGCCAGGGGAGCGCGCGGGGGCCGCAGCATGCGGAAACCCGCTAAACCCGGTGGCTGCTGAGGCGGCCGAGATGCTCGTGCGCGCAGCGCGCCCCACTGCATCCTCGACCTTCTCCGGCTACAGGTACGTCCCAGCGGGAGACCTGGGCTCGGCCGGCCTGGGAAGAGGAAGACTCAACCGGAGAGAGAGCGAGAGCGGGAGAAGGAACAGGAGAGAGAGGGAGAGAGGAAGCGGGAGAGGGATTATCTGTAGCGAGGCGCGGGAGGAGCACCAGGGGGCGCTGCGGCTCCGCGCTCCGCTGTGCTCACCCTAAGAGTGCCTCGGCCAGAACGAGTTCTCCCTAACTTCCCCTGGCTCCAGCAGCGCCGGGCCCGAGGGGCGCGCGCCTGTGCACGCGTGCACGACTGTGTTGGTATTTGCAGGCACGCGCAGTTGTGCACCTGGCGCGATACATGTGTGTGCACCGACTGAGGACGTGTGTGGACTCCGGATGGCCGTGGGCACCGCCACAGCGGCCTGCGGCTGTGCGCAGAACGGCGCGCGTGCCTGTCAGGTTGTGCAGCCCACTACCCACATGCATCTAAGACTTGGTAACAGGACCTGTAGTGGAAAGCCTGGGGAGGGTCTGTACAGTTCGTGTCCGTCGGAGAGCCGCTTAGGAGCCTACCTTTCCCCCCACGCAGTTCCCTGCCAGCTCCCACGCGCCGGCCCACGGGTGGAAGCGCCTGCTCTCCGCTCTGGGGATTCTGCATTGCACGCGGTGCGCATGAGAGAGGGCGTGTGTGTGTGTGTGTGTGTGTGTGTGTGTGCGCGCGCGCGTGTGTGTGCATGCGTGCGTGTAGGGGGCGGGTCCTGGGGCTCGCTTGCAGTTGAGTGGAAATTGCTTCACTGTACCCCCGCGCGAGGTGGGGGGCCCCAATTTCCCCCACGCGCCTGGGGCGCACGGGTGAATGTCTGCACTCCCGTGAACTTGGTGGGGGCCACCCTGCAGGAGAGGAGTGGGGTCTGCAGCGCGTGCCGCGTGGAGCCAGGTCTGTGCTGTACCCGGAGGATTCAGAGGGGGCGGGGTCAGTCATCTAGCACAGCGCGGGAGCAGGGCTGCGGAGTCTCAGCACCGCCTCCGCACGCGGGGGCTGCTTTGTAGTTGGCTCCCTTGAGCAGGGGGCGGTGTCGGTAACTTGGTCTGAACTAGTCGGGTGGGAGAGGGGTGGGTGGAGGTTTTGCTCTGTGCGCCTACGCTCAGGGGCTGTGGTCCACAGCTAACTTGGGGGTGTGGTGGGAAACGTGGGCAGAGTTGGGTATGGAGAGGAGGCTGGAGACAGGGGATGAGACGGAGGCTGGATGCAAAAATGGGTTTAGGGATAGTGATGGAGACTTAACTCCGATTGGAGTTGTGGATAGAGCTGGGTGGAGGGATGTGGATGGCGGCGGGAATGGGGAATGGAGTCAGTGACTCTGTCAGCTCGCTCTGGGGATGGGCTGTATACCCGGCTCCTAGAGCAAGGGGCTGGGTCTGTAATCCCTTTCCTCTGGAACCTTTGCTCCCCGCGGCCCTGACTCTCCCTCTCCGCCTTGCAGGGACCGTAAGTGGCGACTATGGGCAGACTGGGTTATTGGACCCTGCTGGTGCTGCCGGCCCTTCTGGTCTGGCGCGGTCCGGCGCAGGGTGCGGCGGCGGAGAAGGGTCCCCCGGCGCTGAACATTGCGGTGCTGCTGGGTCACAGCCACGACGTGACGGAGCGCGAACTGCGAAACCTGTGGGGCCCCGAGCAGGCAGCAGGGCTGCCCCTGGACGTGAACGTGGTGGCCCTGCTGATGAACCGCACGGACCCCAAGAGCCTCATCACACATGTGTGCGACCTCATGTCTGGGGCGCGCATCCACGGCCTTGTGTTTGGGGACGACACCGACCAGGAGGCCGTGGCTCAGATGCTGGATTTTATCTCTTCGCAGACTTTCATCCCCATCCTGGGCATCCACGGGGGCGCATCTATGATCATGGCTGACAAGGTAAGTGGGAGAGGTGATAGGCTGCCAGGCCCCGGGAGTGTGCTGATCATACCACAGCCACCACAGGTCTTGGGGAGCCTCTGGCATCTGTTTTGATCTGAGAGAGGGTCGTGGCCACTGGCTCCGGTGAAAGCCAGGTTTTGCCTTTCCAACCCAGAATGAATGGAAACGCTTTCTGCCTTGGTTCTGAGGGTCTCAGGCACTTTGGGTATGCCAGGGAGAACTCAGTGAATGCAGATTTGTGAGGAAGTGGTGGAACACTTGGAGGTTTCCAGATAGTGCACAGAGGTGAGCTTGGGGACACTTGAAACCCTCCAGCTCATATTTCTAGAATGTCACTTTTATCTGATTTGTGGAAAAGTGTCCATTTTCCCCCTTTGCGGTAAGCGACTAAAACCATTTTCAAAAAGCTGAAACGTGGCTATGTTACGGAATAAAACGCATAGTCTTTAGGTAAAGCGCAAAAGGGCAGAGAAATATGCTTCCACAGACTCCGCAGTTGGGGGAAGAGGGGCGGAGAGTTTGAGAAGTCCTGTGCAGGCGCCCAGCAGAGCGTTCCTCTAAGGAGTGGGTGCGAGTGGAGACAACTGACTGTAGACCCTGAGTATGGAGGGCCTGGCATTTTCCTACATGTTCCCTGGGTGGAGCTGTCAGGGGCGCCCAGAACGTCAGATGGAGGGGTTGCTTCCCAAGGATGGGTTTTGGTATGAACTTGGATAGTGTCCGAACAAAACAAGGTGTGTCCCCATCTCTTGGTTTAGGATGGGAGAGAAGGTTATTCTGCGAACCATCCGAGAGTGTTGGTTTGGGGAAGAGGAGAGACTTTAAGGTTGGGTGAGATGTTATGAGGGCCTGGTTTGAGGATCAGAAGGGAGAAGCACAGTGAGGAAGGAGAAAAAACTGGAGTCGTGGGTGCACTGTATCTCTAAGCCCCAGGAAGGGCCTCACATGGGGTCAGAAGCAGGGGGTGGCAGGGAGAGGGAGCGTGCCCTTGTGTGCTGTGGTCCCCAGTCCCGAGAGCTTCTTGGAATGTGTTCCTTAAATAGCGGGAGACATGCTAATGGAACGAGCAGACATTTGTCAGAGCACTTTCCTTCTGACGCTCTCAAAGCACTTTTATATTCATCAAATCAGATTCTGCCTCTGCCTCAGCAATTCCCACCAGCTCCTTTGGGAACTGTATTAATTCTTTCAGGTCTCCTGGGCTGCAGCACATTCAGCCGAAGTATACAACCAATGCAGTATCTTATTAAACATTCATTTGAAATGCCTTGCAGTCTAGCAGAATTCCTCCGTGCGGCCGAGCATTTTCCCAGCCACCTCTCGGTTTTGGGGAGCTCCTTTCTGGGATAAAAAAAGACGAAGTAGGGAACAGCTGTGCCCTGCCACCAGTGTATGAACTGGAGAAGGTCTTGGAGTCTCCTAGAGCATCCTGCAACTTTCAGATGAAGTACCTGAGGCATAGCGGTGGGGGGGTGGTGGCACGGGCAGTTAAAGACTTGGCTGAGGCCACACAGTGGGTGATGGGACGAGATCTTGGTCTTCTGGTCTCAAGCTGTGATCTCACTTTCCAGCAAATTAAGCTTGTCCTTTAATTTTGTCATCTTAACTTCAGGAGGGTCAAGGAATTAATCTCATTTTATAGGAGATAGTGAGCCATGGAGAGGTGCAGTGAATCAGAGCCCAGGGCTCGTGCGTAAGGACTGACCAGTCGTCTGATGAAGGCATGAATGAGAACTGTAGTTTCTGGCAGGGGGTTGGTGATTTGGGGATCTAAATATCACCCCTGATCCCACCTCCCTTCTGAAGTTTTGACCAAAAAAGCAGCACACGAAAGATAGTACTGCCATGTGGAAAGTGAAATTTGTGGATTGAGTAGGGCCCAGCACCATCAATGGAGAAATCTGTTGTAATCTGACTTAGAGACGGTGTCTTGAGTCTGGGAGGTCTGATCTGTCAGGTCTGTGGCTCAGGCTCTGACCTGATTTTATCCATCTGACTGTGGGCAAATAAGTAGGAACAGGGAGTGGGCTCAGAGTTGAGCACCCATTTGGTAGATGGCGACCCTGTCCACTGTGAACGCCAGGCTCTGACCAACTGGACCCGCGGCTGCTCCTCCCTTAAAGGTCCGTGAGAAAGGGAGTTGGGAGGGTGTGGGTGGACGTATCCTCGTCTTCTATCAAAGGAAACCACCTTCTGGGGATTGGGCAAGAGTGTGGCCCCACTTCGGAGTAAAGGAGAAAAAGGGATTCCGGAAATGCAAGAGGAAGATAAGAAAGGACGTTTTCAGAGAAGTCCCGTTAAGAGAGAGATTTACAAGGTGGTGTTGGGAGAGGAATGAAAGAGTCCATTGGTTCAAAAATTGTGAAGGGAATTGTCAGGGCTGGCCAAGTTGGTCTTGATGGCAGGGAATCAAAGAAGGGAGCGGAGATAATGTTGGGGTACATGTTGGGCCCCACGCGTGGGATGTGCAGGTGATGTTGGGTGGAGGTGGGTAAAGAGTGGCATTTTGAGAAACCTGAATGTCTTAAAACAAAGAAAGAGATAATCTGAGATGGGAACAGCCCTTCCTTCCAGATTAGTAGCACATCTCTCTGGCTTGTGCCTTTGCTGCCTGTTTCCTTTGGAGCTGAACACCGAGTGCAGTTTGTTTGGCTCTGAAGAGGCAGCCATGAGATGTTGCCTAAAACTCCACCTTGCTTGGTTGAGTGTGCCAACAGCGTTACGGCCACAAAGTCTGAATCTCCCCAGACTGAACAGGCCTTTCTGTCTCCCCGCTAAGACGATGTTCATTTGGTAAAGCCCAGAACGTACCTGTGTTGTTTTCACTTCCAAATTGGCAGCATGATAGTTGATAGTGCCCCTGTGGATAAGAATGGTATTTAACTTGATTATCAGTTAAATTCAACATGCCCCCCCCTCCCATTTTTACCTTTCCCTCAGTCTACCTGACCCGTGTGAGAAAGAACAAAGCCTTCTAATAACTGAAATGTGTTAAGTGGCAGATTTGTGTGATGTTCATTTACTGTAGAGACGTTAATTTTTGCTTCTATCAGTGGGTGGTCCTGAAATATAATTCAAGTAGAGGTGAAAATAATGTTTGATGTAGATAAAGTTCTAATCTTATCTTGGTTTGGCCACTTTGATCCCCTCCAAATGGAACACAACTCTGGTTGCAGCAATAGCCCCTAATAAATCAGGCATATGCATTAGACCTTCATGTTTCTGCTCAATGCCCTCACCTCCTCCTCCCTTTCTATTTCTAGCGAGTCCATGGGGGAAAAGACAAGGCTTAGATTTTAGCTACATCTAGCCATGTCGCTTATTGCGTGGACTTTCTATGTTGTGTCGATCCATACCTCATCTCTTCTACTCGAGTGGAAGTTCCTTGAGGACAGTCTTTTTAAAAAGTGTGTTTATGTGTATTTGAAATAATGAATACTAATCTTCCACAGTTTATAAAAATAATGTCATTTCACCGGAGAGCGCTTAGAAAATATATTAACCTTTAAAGAAGAAAATAAAGTCCTTCCCTCTAAGTCCTGTCACCAGGAGCAGCCAGCCACTGTTGGACATGAGGGTCTCTTTCTTCTAAGCTGTATTCAGTTAGTTATCAGTTCAGGATTATACTGTATATATGTTTTGTTTTTGTTTTGTTTTTGTACGTTGCACTCTGTGGGCTTTTTTTAGTCATAAGATTCAGGTTTTTCTTTAATTGCGGAAAAATCTCAGCCATTATCTGTTGGCTGTTTCCTGTCCAGTATTTTCTCTGTTCTCTCCGTATGTAGTTTCTCCATGTATCTTAAACATTTTTTTTCAGTTCTCTCTCTGTGTTATGTTTGAGGAGGTCTCTCCAGTTCTGTACTCCAGTTAACCAACTCTTATTTGTATCTGGTTTATTATTTTGCCTTAACCAGCTCTTTTTATTTGTATCTTGTCTGTTATTTTACCTGTCTGTTGAGCTTTTAATTTCAAATGTTCACCGTATTTCCAAGATAAATAATTGGCCCCTTTTTATACCTTCCTGCTTCTTTATTTTATTTTAAAAACCCTCTTTTTACTTTGTGAATGTAAATTCTTCCTCTATCCCTTTGAGGATTAAAAAAAAAAAAATACCGTGAAGTCCTTCTCTGATTGCTCTAGCATCTTTGTTTCTTCAGATATGAATTCTTTCATTTTGCAGATTCTGATCATTGGATGTCCTCATGTGTTCTCTAATGTATCCTATGTCCTCATGTGTTTTGTTTGTGAACTTATTTTCAAGGTGATTTTATGATATCTTCTGCCCTATGTCTGCAAGGGTATATGCGCTTTTCAACTAGAGCTCATGTCAACAGCTCAACTCAGCGCTCTCTCTCTGCTCTGTATATCCTATGGTGCCCGCTTGGGTCCCAGGCTCATGTAAGTTGCTTCATTTTTGCTCCTTGGCACAGACGGAGGCGTCCTTTTTGACTGTGACTCCTGGAAGCATGATTCTGAGTCCAGTTTTGCCTCTAATTCCCTGGGTAGATGTTGGGACCTCTGCTTCCTTGGCTCATATTGGACCCATCCCCCATGAACCATGTGACTTTGAGTCCTGCTTGAGATTGTAGAGTCCCATCTTATGATTCATTTATTTTTAGAGAGTCCTCTTTATTTTTAATTCGTGATTCCCTTGTCTTATTTCCAAGCAGTATTATGTAAAACTTAAAACATCTAAAGGTTTATCTATAGATTCTGCATCTTAGGAGCAGGGGAGGAATTACTGAGTGTGTTCACTCTGATTTTGACCCAGTTATATTTCACAACCTGCTTTCATTTTTTTTTTTCAAGCTTGATTGTGTATTTCTGGAATTTTCCCTTTAAATCCTATTTAATAAAATAGACTTCTCAAGCATGATTTTAAATGGCTGCGGAGTATTCTGTCTATACCACAGTCATTGTGACTAATATTTCTATTTTCCACCTTTATTAAGGTTTATTTCTGGTTCGCGTGTGTGTTCTTTTCAGCACCTTGTGCT